AACTGTATTTATGTCTCTATAAAAAAAAATTGTTTATATATAATAAATATAGTAAAGGGTTATAAATTGGGTTTGAGGATTACTCTTTTATGTTTTTCATACATTAAACTAGAAATAAATCCAATTCTACTCACATTATGTTTCTTACGTAAAGATGCAATTTCTTTGCTTACTATTTTTGTAATTTCCATAAAAGATTTATAGCAACAAGCTTTCGTTCGTTTAAATTTTATTCTCATTAAATAGCGCCGTCTGTGCTTTGAAAAACTTTGACAGGAACAAGACTAGCCAATTTCCGTTAAAGAATAACTTTAATAACAATATATAAGAATATATTTAATATATACAATTGCGTATAGTAAAAAAAAAATTCATGTTAATAATTTACTCCGGATTTATCACAGTAGTTATTGAGAAGAAAATTAAGTTTAAATGATAATATAAACTCAAAATTGTTAAAAATTAATTTACTTTTACTTGTAATCACTTCTACAGTTTCTCACCATAGCTGAAAAATTTAAATGAATCGAAAGCACTGTTAATGCTTGAGGCCCAATTATTGAGGTCATGCGTTTAAACTCCAGCTGTTCACATAATATGGAGAAATCCACGGTTGTATTTGATTTAGGGTGATGAACATCTTATATCACGAAACAAAAGCAAAGCGGCACTTGGCGAGTGCGGTAAGTTACCCTTACTTGGAGACCCTTTCTCTATTTTACATTATAAAAAAGGGCCACCGGTTACGCAATGACCACTACCAACCCAACTGAAGATGATGTAGGTGTGAGAATTTATTAATGACGTAACTGCTGACGTGCTTGCGTGTGACATAAGAAACAAGGCACGTCAATGAGTAAACAAATCAGATCGAAATTATGGAGATATGCCGATATTTTAAATGAATGTTATTTGAAATAGGAAGAACAAATGGCTTATAATTTGGTTCGATCAATAGACCTTTCGAATTTTATCTACGAAACCCGATTGCGAATAAATTGTCTGAACCTAAGCAAACGCAAAGTTTTCACGCGGGTGAGAGGTTTTTGCGTCTCACGGTAGCATTAGGCGAATGGAAAATACTCGATTGCTTTTGTCAAATATTCGAAATTTGATAGAAAACGTTATAGAGGAACAAAACTATATGCAAATAATTTATTCAGTCCACTACTTTAGACGGCTCAGTGTGTAGTATTTTCCGATAGAAAGGTCTTCAAAATCTATGACCCTCATTTTATAATAAGCACAATTTATTTTGGTTCATGGTTATATATTCGACTATGTTCGCTTAGACTGATTATTTAATCAATATCTCGAAGATGAAAAATAAATTAATGTGTATTTCTATTGAAGAGGTAAAAAATTTGTGTGAAAATGTCCTGCGAATAAATTTACCAAAGGCAAAATAAATGAGCACATAATTGTATAGGTCATTGGGTATTCTCATTATAATAACGATTTCTTCTTGAACGATGTAATGTATCTAATTCTTCGTTTCGTAGTCCAGTAACAAGGTACAAGCCTAAATTATGCTTGGTAAAATTGATAAAATAAAGTGCGTACGTCTTAGAGATAGTTTTTGCAATATCCGTATCACTGATATTGTAATCTTGAGATAAAATCTCGTCATTGAAGTTGTGATCGCAATCGCGATTTTAAGTTACAATGTACCATCGCTGTATAGTCTATAAGATCTGTACACGCTCTATACAGTATATATCAGGCTTATATATTGTTTGAACACTATAATGAACCAGACACAGAAGTCTATTCAATCCGGGTAACGCGATTTTACACACACTCAAATAAAAGTTTCTCTTACCCATCTTTTTGGGATGAACTGAATTTTAAACAATGTTATTTTATTTACAAAAGCTTGCCAACGCTTGGTACACCGATACATTGGTACATAAAGGAAAAAAAAACACAAAACTGAATATGATTAGTGAATAACTATATATGTGTTGAAAGAGTAACAATCACAATTGAAAGGAAAAGACATCGATTTCAAAATTATAAAAACTATACATAGAGACCAAGATTTATTCATCAGGATCTAGATGTCGGTGAGTTTTGGCCAAAATTTGTTTTTCTAGGAGGACCAATGGAGGAAAGGTTGCCTTGGGTACCTAGAGACAGAATACACAGAAAAAAATACGATACACAGAAAAAAATACGATAAATAAATTTTTACGTCACAATTATGTTTGTAAGTAAGATTTATTGAATTAATTGAAAATATTTATGAATTTAAGAAATGATAAGGTTTTCTCAGTACTCCTAATCTCATCTACCTTTCGTTGCCTATTTAATGTTGATGTCGGCGAAAAATTATAATCCGCTTGGTAAATTGAGTCATGATTTACCTAAAGGAATAATAAAACGACGTTCCAGTGTTATTATCTTTTAAATATGATAACAAATAAAAATAAAAATATATTTAGCTTTTGTTATAATTATAGCGATGTTGTATCGGTTCTCTAATTACCTTACCAATGCTTTCTTATAAATTTTGCGGTTCAACAACTATCTTTATACCAAATCTCGTGAAACGGCTTAAACTTTTTTGAAATTTCTCTTCATTTTGATGTTTTACTTCATAGCTACTAGCTATATAAGCTGTTGGATATCTACAAAATTGAATTGACTTAGTGAACGCATCAACATAAACCGGATATAACAGTCCAGGCGCAGCAGTCACCGGTAATCACTATCGGTAAGCCTCTTAGTCTACATAGTAATAGACAATCTAACTTGAGTAAGATTTAGGAGTGAATAATTGAGGAAGTTGTATGAAAGATAATTTAATACATGCCCCGAGTACCTAACTTTGATTACCTAGTTTGATGGCTGCCTCCTTGACTATATTGTGCCGAGCGCATCTCTCTCTCCAAGGAACGACTAAACGTATGCGTTACATTTACGTTACAAACTTCTGTTCTTCTTAAATGGTTCGATATGTTTTTAACACATTTTCTTATTCACTTCATACGACTATACGACTATCACTCCTGAAGGGCTGAACGAATGCAAATTGGAGTGACCGAAGAACGAAGTAAGGGACCTCACCTTCTCTGGCGAAGCCGGTTGTTAGCTCGAGTCTACAAACACGCCATCATTTCATCTTTCATTTTATATTTCACCCCAAAGGATGTTGTCTAAAAGTTCAGTATGCTTCAGAACTTTGATTTTGATTGAACAAACTACACGGTAAATCTAAATCTAAATTACTTAAAGAAAGCTATCTCAAAGACCAAAATAAAAGAAATTTAAGAGAAAATATCCATTAACCAGATAAATAACCGTTTAATTATAATACCTTTGCAATGTTTTATTTTAAATTATAAAACAGTCCATTCCCGAAAAGATGACAGGTGGCATCTTTTGCTACATTTTTTTATTATTGTTATTAATTAAAATAAATAAATAATAAATTTAGATAAATACTTATAATACTTTAAAACAATACTTAATCTTCTATACCATTGATAGGACAACGATTCTGTTTCTGTTTCGTTGTTTAATTATTAAGGCAAGTAGGCCAAGATCTCTCTTTATGACCCAAGGGACAACCCCTTATTATATGAAAATGTCATTTTGTAAGATGATAAAGGAAATCTTAGGTTTAAAAATTACTAAACATGGATTAAGTTCAGTCAATTGCTATACATTTTTGTTAGTTCAGGAACATTTGTAAGGCTGTGTAAGCGAAAAAAATTGAGGCATTGTTCAATTACCGGTAAAATTTATAAGAGCAAAGTAAGCACAAAAACTTTTATGTTCTTATAAAATCTTAGATTTATTCTGGTAAGGTAATATCTATTATAATTTAGGTATTGAAGGTTAGCTAGTATATATTGGTTTACATTTTTCGTATCGTTAATGTTATGTAGTTAACAAAACGATATATATTGTCTTAGTACCTCAGAAACTTCATTCTGATTATTTTATGTTTATGTTCAATAGTTTATAGTTTATAGTTCTCTTATTATAAGGAAATTCTAATTCAGAAATGGACCTGGGGGGGTTGAGAATGTAAAATGAAAAACGCAAACGCAGATTTTGATTGGCCGAAATGACGCTATAACATGACGTATGTTGTCGCATGTCAATACATATTGGACTAGATGCTATTGACCAATCAAATCGAATGATGCGCACAATTGTTTGATTTTAAGTTCTAATCCATAATAACGATGGAAAGACATGCAAATATATATCTTCAAAGTCATACGATTTCTTTCATACATGTTTAACGGAACACAATGTGAATGATTCGGTAGTAAAACAGAATTTACGACGATAACAAAGGCCATTCTGTTTTATTTAATTAGTAAGTTAATACCGTTCGACAAGGTTGGGTGTGGATGACACTATCAGACATCTTTTGTAGAACATTCTCTAATTAAACGAAGATGGATTATACAGGGTGGTGTTGAATGTTAAAGCTAGTGGATGTTCGTGATTAAAAGCTTTATTATATGAACGTTAATTAAAACCAACTTCAATGTTGCCAAAATTACAATTTACTGTAGTTGGTTGTTTAAAGTTGGTTAAAACGCGTAGCACCGTTGTCGTGCCTTTTTAGGCAAACAAAAGCGCTCAAGTTAATAAAAAAAGTAACAAAAATACCTAAGGCCAAACTTAAAATCTACCAAGACCACGTGGTAAGACTGACTGCGTAGTCAGTCTTAACTTATCTAAAAACGGGGTAATTGTATTCATATATTAGAGTAAGACTATTCAAAATAAGTACTTAAATCACTTTTTTTCAATACTATATAATCCAAATGAGCAGCACAGACATAACTCCGATGACGTCATACCCTCGCGAACCCCGAATCGCGATCTGCGCCCAATTCGATTGGGACTACCGTTTATATAAAATTAAATGAATTTTTCACGTACGTAAGTCAAACTTAGCGTTCCATTTCTAAATCTCTTGATCCCGCCCTTTTTTATGCAAGTTCGCTTCAGTTCTCTCAATATCCGTAGCGGTGATGTCGCAACCTGCGGATCGCGGAGTACAAAAACTCATTATTGTGATCAGGATTGCTGTCGGTATCACTAGAGTAAGGGCTTCGTTTTTCAATTGTAATCATATATAGAACTTATCGACTTTAATATAGTAATAATAGAAGCCCGGTTAATTTCCAATCATTACAAAAAAAATACATAGCTAAGATTTTTGAAGTGAAACTTCTTTACGGATGAAACGCAATAATAATAGTATTAGCGTAACGAAGTTGTGCTACGTTTTTGTCGAAGAAAAGAGAGAGAGGGCGACCTTACCTTATAGAAATTCTATTTTAAAATCCTCTAAGTCTCGGAAATCTAAAGTTTTAGATTTGTATAAATGTGAACAAGACTTAAAAATTAGTTTGCCAAAGAAGTTTCACTTCTGACATCTGTATTGTACGCACGCAATTTTTTCACATTATTTTTACTTGTTATCCTATATATCCTATATCCACGCTAGCTTCAGCACCGTCGATCGGAACCCCTTTACGGGTTAAGGCCTCCTCCAGCTTTTTCCAACTGACTCTGTTTATGGCTTTCTTTCTCCATTCGCTTCCTGCTGCCACATACAGAAATATATACGTTAATTTGAAGAATTTAAGGACAAAGAAATTTAATACGACACACGCAATCGCTTAAATAATATAGTGAAAATGTTGTACCGAGATATTAGACTTTAGCAACGTAGACAATGGGGAGCACCGTATTTAATTAATTCAATGTACCTATGGTAAATAGGATCCATTAAAATTAATGAGGTGGGTGTATGCTAATGACACAAAGAATTAGTATCATTTTGTTTGTACATTGAATTATTATGAAACACGCGATATTACTCAAGTGTTTCGAACGAATTTTAAAAATAAAGATTATTTTCGATAGTTACTTCTATTTTAAGATAAACAGTAGTCAATGATCGATAAGGTTCTTTGTTGTGTCATTTATAATAATCGGCTTAGCAGGTTAGACTAACGGAAGAGGTTAATTATTATTTTTCTTTTTTATAGAACAGGGAACACCTGATTTTTTTAACGATTTATTTATTTCAAACAGGCATTGCTCTGTAGATTTGTACCTTTGATAATAATTTTTGGTGATGAGCCTTCTGTGCTTGTTCGTGCTGAATCTAACGATATTTTGGTTGACCGTATGAACTAATGCGTGCGCGTATTAGTAGTATATTATTATGTCAGGATTGGAATGCACGACGTGGTTGTGAGTTCCTAGTCACATAATATGCTATTTAAAAAAAATATAACTTTATTCAGGTCGCATCGAACTATAATTGACCTAATTAAAAGAAAAATGTTTTTTTCTAGCCTGCTTAATGTGAAATGAATACAGAATATATTTTTTTCTTAATTTCATATATAATACGTTTCTTTTGTTACACATACACATATTACATACATAAAATATTTTTCTTTAACTGATATTTAATACGTTTATTTTGTTTCAGCCTCCGTGGCGCGCATCACTAAATTCCTGGGTAACTCTGGTATACCTCTCATTACGACTGGAGGTTTTACGTTCGACTTCGTACAGCAAAAGCAGACATGCCAGGACGAGTTCTACATGCTGGTACGGACCAGCCCGCTTGGCTTCAAGGACATGGCGTACTTCATTATAAATGTCATGAGGCAGTAAGTATATTGTCAATACTAAAGCCGAATATCAATGAAGAGCGAACCCAGGGGAGAGAGCCGTACGAGCTCTAAATTTCACCAACATCATCTTGATGGTTGGAGGTCTTCCACAGTCCGTTTCACAAGGCATTTTCTTTTGCGAACTAGCGAACTGTTGAATCGACTCCCGGTGGGGGTCTTCCCTCAGAGATACGACCTCCAAATGCTTAAAAATCGAGTGTACTTCTCCCTCAAAGGCCGGCAACGCTAAAAATGGGTGTCTATGGGCTGCGAAGACTTCCCTTTTTGGTCGTCCCGCAAGCTCGTTTGCCCCCTATTATAAAAAAAAGAGAAAATACTATGTCTTTTTTGACATTTCTTATACTTCTATAAACTACAAATCGCACATGCAAGATGTAGAAAGCACTTGAAGGCTTTTCTTTTACGACTTACTCTATAGAAGCTTTTCATTTAAATCGTTAGCTTTTCTTTTAAATTACTAAAATAAAAATGTGAGAAATAAAGGCTTCATACATTTATTATTTCTTTTAATATTTCGTTTGAAAGTAAATGGGTGCTACGGAATATATTATATGGGGTTGGAAGGGTCTATGATAGCTTAAGCTAGAGCGAGTGACGTCACCTTGGCTCCCAAAACACTAATGAAATTTCTGTTATGATTGTTTAATCGCGTAGTATACCTTATGAAATGCTTGCAATGAATAAATAAATGATAATTAAAAATGCTTCCATTGTTAATTATCTATTCCGTGGTGCCCAGGCATTAAATAACCACTGTGCTATAGAGGACTCGATAAAGCTGCCAACAAAAGGTAATTTGCGGTGATTTCGGTGGGTGTGTCGTTATTAGTTATTTATATTATTTTTTTGGTAAATAGTTAAAAGTGCGTAAGAGAATAAAAAGGTAAGGGCTTTCACTATTTGCACGCACTATAATTATTATTGTATTTTATTTTTCTTTAAATATATGAACAAAGTATGTATGTTAAAATAAATTATTGTAATAAAAATAAAAATATTTTTCGCATATATTATCATTTTAGTCACTATCTTATAGGTAACTGGTAAGGTAGCTAATTATAGTTGCAAATCTAAATATTTTATATATAATGGTGACAAGGTATATAATGGCAGTATCTATTATTTTTATCCTTGATGCATATTTAAATTTGAAAAACATGTATTTTATTGTATTAAATCTATTACACAAGTTGGTTGAATATCATATTTTGCACGTGTGTTTGCACTAAATGAAATTTATTTTACGCCATCTAGTTACGACTGGCGACAGCTGCTTCTCATCAATGAGCCCGAAGCACAAGTCGACGTCGCCGGAAAATCTACATGCCATCTCATGATGAAAACCTTCGCGAACTTTCTCAAAATAGAAGATATCATTTATACCCCATGGGACACAACGTCGGACGGGGGATTAAATCATACTGAAAATCTAAAATTTTACCTCGGATATAAATATACAAGTAAGTGTAGGTTATTATTTTAATATCTGAGCACATTGCAGTTCATGTATTATTTTCTAGAGGGCGCTAATATAAATAGGTGCGTAAAATGTCTTGATAAATATTAGGATGTAGTTTAACATATTACCGATAGATGGCGTTATAAGAAAATAAATTTTAACAGATTTAAGTGGAATCGGGCAGCACTTTTGTATGAAACATCAGCGTTTGCTGAATATGTTGGCGCTAGAGGGGGACACTTATTGGCTAGCACTATTCACGACTACATGATTCGAGAAGGTGTTCACATTTTCGGTAGAGAATTACAAGGGAATATACCGGCCATTGAAACATTAAGACAATGGGTCGGATTTGACTACAGCAGTAAGTCCGGGTTGGAGTTATTGGGATTGAACACTGTGTTAAAGTTTTTGGTTTACGTTTCAACGAGGGCTTATTTTTTAAATTAGGGGATATATAATTATTATAAGCACTCGCAAGCTTGTTTAGATTATGTTACTCGTGTCACAGTGTGGTTTTTTGCACGTTTTGAATGAGCTTCACGGTATTTTATAAGGTATTACCAGTTTTATATGAACATGAAACATGTTAATTCCCTGCAAAATAACTAAATTAACAAGAGCGAAACCAAATTTACAATCTTTATCCTGCGTTTAGACTAGATTGAGCGATTTTTCTTCGTTTCCAAAATCGATTTAAGTTTAAATTAGATTACAAATTACAGCAAGGAATCTATTATGTGTAGTAAACACATTTATTTATACAAGGTCGTACTATTTGGATACGGTAAAATATTTTTATTCAATAACCTACAACGTGCTTGCTTAAAATTTAATGTAATTTTATATCTTAATATATATATAAATTACGTGTCACGTTGTTTGTCCGCTATGGACTAAACTACCGAACCGATATCAATCAAATTTGCACACCGTGTGCAGTTCGATCTAACTTAAAAGATAGGATAGCTTACATCACAATTTATACCCGTACTATTATTTTGTTGCAAAATATTTGTTATAAGTACATAAGCTACAATTTAATGGCATAACCACCAATAAAGCATGGTGGTCTCCATGACTGGTGTTCACCTACAGTTTCCCTTGAATAGTTTACTACTATGTAATATAACAAAAACCATAGCTACAGCAACGCTTGGCCGGTCTGCTAGTATGTATCTATGTTTCGTTTAATAGTAGAAATTTCAGACCTCCGCTGGTTTAAAAAAAAATCTATTTATTATGTTTTGAAACAGATTATATTTTTTAAATGATGATTTATAACTAGCTTTTACCGCCGGCTGCGCTCGCGTGGCTCAATTCTTATCGATTTCTTCTGTAAAAAAAACATGCAAAAATGACATTTCGAAATTACATGGGTGGTTACTGTCTGGCTGTAAATTATTTAACACGCATGAAAGTAGAATCTGGTCAAACATTTATTTTAAAACATATGATATGTTATGAATACATAAATATTCCATTTTAACCTTCTAACAGGTTTTCATAATTACTATGGACATAAAAAATATAATTATAGATTTTTAAAAGATTTACCAGATAAAAACCCGTTATTATAAACATTCTTTATTTTGTTAACCCAACGTTTCATGTGCTTTAAGGCAAGCATGGGCTTATATATGCTCATATGCATATAATGCTCAGGTACTCGCGGCGCTATGTTATATTCGAAGTGTAAAAGTCTACTTACATGAATAACATTATCTATCTAATTGTTTTAACGGATTTAAAAAACACTGGATCTTTCCTCCTTCTACTCCTCCTCTCCTCATCTTGGAGTTTTGTGTTTACTCTTCCGTGGTCCGCCATGCAACCTAATTTTTAATTGAAAAAAAAATACTAATATAAAACTAATTTAAATACGAAGTATAATTATTCATGTGTCCTTACAGACTTTAGTCCACATATTTTAACAAGTCCGAGTTATATTATAGAATCTGTAAATAAAACGAATAACTATACATTAATAATCCTATAATAGCTTTTAAATGTGCTGAAATGTTTGCCCGAATCGAATCCCTTTACATTTAATTTGTACAGAAGCCTTTACTGTGGTTATTCATTGTTCTAAAACGAGATTTAGTTTCAAAGTGCAGTAGATGAAATCAAGCTGTCATGTTACGGGTTGACACTCAAATAAGGATATTTAACCGAGTGCCAAAAACCCGAAATAACGCCGTCTGTACATAAATACTACAGAAGTATGTAGAAAGTCGAAAACTAAATTTGTATGAAAATGACAGTTTTTTCGTCGATAAATTTTCATACAAATTTAGTTTTCGACTTTCTACATACGCTACTGTTAAGGCATCTTGCCTGAGCCCTCGGTCCATCTATACTGAATTAATTTAAAACTTAAGCAAATATGGCGTATTATTAAACCGCAGAATATGGAAGGAATGTGAAATCTAAGTAAGAATGAAATGGTGAGTTGTGAAGGTCTTGTGTAGTTGCACAGTTTATAAATAAAATTTAAGCTAATGATTAATTTATAAATGATATTTACTAAACGATATTATAATGAAAAAAAAAAATATATGTATATAAATCTGTCAAAAAGTTTGATGAAATTATTTGTGTGTGTTCAAGTTAGTTCGAGATCTACGAACAGAATAACGTCTTTCAAGTCCACTAGTATATAAACATTATTAACTTCGAAAGGTATTATGATTTAGGTATGCACATCATAAGTACGGATCTTATCTAAATCTAATAATTGTTCAGTAATAAAGTTCAGAAGAACTTCACAATAATATAAGAAAAGGTTTATATAATTTTATGAGCATTCACACATTACAAATCATTGTAATGTGACTACACTCTATATCTCATTGATTACATCCTTACGATGTTTTAACGGCAATAGAAGACTGAAACGACAACCTGGAATTTTGAATCTGTATATTATTTTGGCCGTTGTGTGACGACTTTGTGGATTTTTATTATTTAAAACGTTAAAATTCATGTTATTTTTTATTAAATCTATTAGGTCAATATAATATCCAAGTTCCTAAATCTTAATACGTGAAGAAAGGTATGTTAGTAATTAAATCGTGATTTTCCATCACGCTGAGATTTGTTTAAATTTTAAATCAATTCAGAATAAATGGACTGTACACAAGTCGCGTCCGATTGTGAAATGAACTGATTGCAGTGTCAGATGAGATTGGTGAAAAGTTCCTTTAAAGGCCATGGGTTAAATTAACTCGGAACGGAATTATTGCCGATGACAAATAAACAATATGTGAATGCTACTAGTGTTTTAAAAAACGAAGACTTATTTATTTATTAACGCTTCGTTGCATTAACATAATAAAAATTGAACATAATTGTAAGGACTATTTGATCTAGTTCTTAGAGTAGGAAATTAAACACTCCAATGATGACTTGATTCACTACAATTCACTACAATATACTATTACACATAACACAAGCTTCACCAGCTTAGCATGGGACTAGGTAAATTGGTGTGAATTGTCTTGAAAAAAAAATAAAAAATGATTTTACGTAAACTCTATAACTTCAAACTTTAACAAAGGAATTGCCCATGCACATGTGTTCCAACCTCTTTTATATTCTATTCCCTTCTCCGACTCGATCATCCCACTTCGGGCAGTTGTTCGTGTCTATTCGTAACAGTTCGTAAACAACCGAACGAGTCAAATGAGTAACTATTGTTGCAAGATTCTTAAGAATATGTTTCATAAAAAATGTTTAGAATTTAATTAAATAAATATTAAAATTGAACATAATTAAATGAAAAGGAGGGCAACTGGATTTAGAACTCTCTTAGGTTCTATAATGTTCCCTTTAAACTAATTTTGTAACGCAGCGATGGAATAGATCAAAAGTACTTTAATGTACTGTTAGCCAGTTTAAGAGTTACCTATTTCCTTGAGTTTACTATAGCACATATATACAGTTTTGAATGTTCATCCCTGACACTCTGGGTACTATGGCAAAGGATTTCATTTAAATTCAGACCTATATTCTGAGTTTAGACTTTGTTCCGACCACATCAAAGCAGAAACTGTAATTAATATTATACCAAGATAATGTATTTTAATAATAAAAATTAAATATAGACACTAGCAAATACAAATTCCCTTTATATATACCTTTTTTGGTTTAAAGATTTATGCACTTCTTATGTATTTTGGCATTTCTTGCTTACCTAATCTATTTTTTTTTACAGTGGTTGCCTGGAAGAGATTGCTCGAAAGCGATAAGGCCGCCAGTTTCCCTCCTTTTCATTTAATTATGTCAATTGTATTATATTTCTGCAAGAAAGTGTTAAAAAATAAATAGTATTTTCTGCTTTGAATGCATTGTACGGAGGAATATTATTTTACAATTTACGATACGATATTGGCCTGAAGGGTGGGTAACAATGTAAAAGGAAAGACAAAATTATGTTTTGACGGATTGTGATTGGTCATCAACATCTCTCATCAAAAAAAAATGTTGTTAAAATTATAACATAATATTTGAAAAAAATACATAATTGTTTATGATTCATATGAAAGTCAAATTTTACGATATAGAAGGTTTCAAAGCATGAATTACGGTGGTTAAAATACTCTAAACAGAATTATTTTTAATGTTATTTTTTAATGGAACAGAGTTGTTTAATGGAATATCTTATAAAGTGAGGCTAAATTTGAAAATATATTTTTTGATTATTATTATATCGAAAAGAGCGTACCAATTCTTAAAAGGCCGGCAACGCACTCGCGAGCCCTCTGGCATTGAGAGTGTCCATGGGCGGCGGTATCACTTAACATCAGGTGAGCCTCCTGCCAGTTTGCCCCCTGTATATATAAAAAAAAATCAAAGAATCTGATGCGTTTTCAACTCGCTCACACTTCTGTAATTTCTAAATAAAATAAATAAATCAGTGGCGCTACAACCTCTTTAGGTCTGGGCCTCAGATTTCTGAATCTGTCTCGTGATCATTTTTAATTCTAATAGGGAAGTAGGTGATCAGCTCCCAGCGTCTGACACAAGCGGTCGACTTTTTGGGTCTAAGACATGTCGGTTACCTCACGATGTTTTCCTTCACCGTTCGAGCTAATATTAAATGCGCACATAGAAAGAATGTCCATTAGTGCACAGCCGAGGATCGAACCTACGACCTCAGGGATCAGAGTCGCATGCTGAAGCCAATAGGCCTAAAAACCAAAACTCAACTCATCCAAAAAAAAACATAATCTTTATATCAAAGAAACTGATACGTTTTAAAGTCCCTCACACTTCTGTAATTTCTAAGCAAGAACAAAAATAAGAGACATTTACCCTAAGTTCCTTTTAAACCCTTACATCTTCGTAAAGCTTCGCAAATCCTTCATGAATTAAGATGGCTTGCTGTCTACTCGAAGATAAGACTAATAATTTACAAAGCGGTAGTAAGTGAAAACCGGTTTTGATAT